GGGAAAACTAGGGCAAATCCCGAGATAGAGTCTTTATTTCCTAGATCGTCGCGGAACAGCTTGACAAACTGTTCTGATCACAAGGGAACATCTTGCCAGACTGTTCACATCAAGAAAATCTTCAAAACAGATTCCTTTCTACTCTTTTCTTTCCACACGATCGTTCTCCTCATCTCTGGAACTCTTCAACCTGTATTGATTAAAAACAACTGGAAAGACTCGATAAAACCATTAAAACCATTAGTAGAGAGTACCTATTCTATGTCAAAAACATAATATATCAAAGAGATACATGTAGCTTGACTCTGCATCTTGACTCACATGTACAAGATGTACGTCAGAACTTTTCATCTTCACTCATGTAAACTCTGCATCTTCACTCACATCATCCAACCAACACTCACTCTCACGTAGTACTTTCACCTAGTACATATCGTACATTAGGATGTTCTCTAACTTCTCAACACCTTGGATGTGCAAGTTTATCATCTCATGTTGATTTCTAAAACTCATTAAAAATCTGCACTTACAGTTCTGTCTTGGAAGAGTAGATAAACAAAATATTGGTGCTAGACAAAGCTGCAGCTCCCATTGATTCAGCCACGGATGCAATCATCCAGAGAATCATAAGAAAGGAGTTTGCAGATTGGACGGTGATATCAGTTGCTCATAAACGGTGATAGATAGTGACATGGTCATGTTTCTTTCGTCTAGTAAACGAACATCTTTGTCTCAGTGAACATGTTGTAGACATTGTTGTGAAACTATATGTTTAGTGCATTTTGGTTTTGATTTCTACAGGTGATATTTTGGAGTATAACGATTATATAAGAGCTAACGGAGACTTATTCTTACTTCTCTAAATTTGTTGTCAGTGCCCGTCCAAGTCCAACATTTCATATTTTTGTTGATGTCCTACTCATTTAAACGTTTATGTTCTTATTCTACAAGGAGTTTTTTCTTACTCTTTTTGTAATACCTTTTATACCATTTAATTATTGTTTTAAATCATCTTAAGCGGTCGGTTTCTAATTGCTTATGTTCTGGATCGGCCTGCTCGTTACTGAGTATTGGGCAAGCTGAAAAGGAAACTCTTCTCAGAATCTACAAGACCCCGGCTAATGATTCAGAAGTCCCATTAAATTAAAATTTTCATTATTATGTTTTGTGATGTAGCTCACCAAACTCTCTGATTGAATCATATATTGACGATAATACCCTTTCACCAACCCCCAACACTATCTTCTTCCCGATCATACTCTGCCTCAGTCCCACCCACCACCTGCTTAAAGAGAACAAGAAAGCTAAAATTTTTACAAGATAATAGTTTTGAATATCAAGAACTTGTGATCATGTCGACACGAGAAGAGACGGTCACTGATCATAAACAGAGCAGTGTTGACGTCATTTTCCGATCAAAGTTACCGGACATTCATATCCCTAACCATCTCCCTCTCCATGACTACATCTTCCAAAACATCTCTGAGTACGCCGCGAAGCCTTGCTTGATCGACGGTCCCACCGGCGACGTTTACTCCTACGCCGACTTGCATGCCACGTCACGCAAACTCTCCGCCGGTCTGCGCAAGCTCGGCGTGGGCCGTCACGACGTCGTGATGCTCCTCCTCCCTAACTCCCCGGAGTTCGTCTTCACCTTCCTCGCCGCCTCCTTTCTCGGCGCAGTCACCACCGCCGCAAACCCTTTCTTCACCCCGGCGGAGATCTCTAAACAGGCCAAAGCCTCCGCCGCGAAAGTCATCGTCACGCAGTCCCGCTACGTTGACAAAGTCAGAGACCTTGGCGTCTTGATCATCTGCACAGACTCCTCCTCCTCCTCCCTCATGCCCGAAGGCTGTCTCAGCTTCTCCGAGTTGACTCACTCCGGAGAAGAAGACCTCGACTCCCGAGTCAACTCGGTGGAGATTTCCCCCGAAGACGTCGTGGCGCTGCCTTACTCTTCAGGCACGACGGGTCTCCCCAAAGGAGTGATGCTAAGTCACAAGGGTCTCGTCACGAGCGTGGCGCAGCAAGTGGACGGAGAGAATCCGAACCTCTACTTCAACAGAGAGGATGTGATTCTCTGCGTCTTGCCTATGTTCCACATCTACGCCCTAAACTCCATCATGCTGTGTAGTCTCAGAGTCGGTGCCACTATTTTGATCATGCCCAAATTCGAGACCACCCTCTTGCTAGAGCAGATTCAGAGGTGTAAAGTCACGGTGGCTATGGTCGTGCCACCGATCGTTTTGGCAATGGTGAAGTCGTCGGAGACGGAGAAGTACGACGTGAGCTCGGTGAGGATGATTAAGTCTGGTGCGGCTCCTCTTGGTAAGGAGCTTGAAGATGCCATTAGTGTTAAGTTTCCTAACGCTAGGCTTGGTCAGGTTTGTTTTCCATTCTTTTTGCATTGCATAATTTTCTTTCATGTTATATGATTACTCGTATTTCTTACCATGATTGACTATGTTTGGTTCGCACTGGTTGTTACATGTAGCTATTTAGAAGTAACCACGTGATTGTACATTTGTCGGCCATTATGATGAGGTTGCATGTGGTAATTGGACCCATTTAATTCTATAATTTCGATATGAAATTTTACATTTGGATTTTGGACAACCTGAAACTTTTTTAAAATACTAGTTTTATTCTTTCCCCTAATTAATAATGAATTTAAACGTCTGAAAAACCTTTTCAAATTGACATGAGATGATCTTTCGTATACGTTTATGAATTCTTTTAAACGTTATTTTTGTTGTTGGTGGTTTTAGAAAATTTACAAAGTAAAATCTTAACTTCTAAGTGCGGATATTACATTAAATAAACCTCCTTATAGAATCAGGACATTTCTAACTTAACTCCATTTTTCTCTAAAATAGAATAAAAAATATGAAATAGAAAATCATCCAACCCTATTTCATTTCCCATTTCCTATAAAATTTATTCTACGTGTCCGATTGGTAATGTGTCCTATTGGTAATGACTTTCGATTTAGGTTTTAACTTTAGAATTGTGGCTATAGGGATTTTGGCTTTAAAAACTCTAATTGTTACTTTAAAAAAAAAGTATGATTGATATACAAAGCTTTAGAAGCTATGACGGTTATAAATATATGTTTATACTTTATTTTCTAAAATGTATTACCTATTTTTAATTTATACAAGTCCATAAAAGATACTGGGTAATTTAAACACAAAATCAATCAAATTTTATCAACAATATATTTTATTTCATTGTTGTAAAAATCTGAAATTGTAACCAACAAAATTAATTTTTAATAAATTTAAAATAAGATAATAATTCATTAAATAAATAAAAATTATGAAAAATTAAATTTAAAATAATATTACAATTTATTAACTAAAAAAAATTAATTAAAAAGAAAATATAAGATGACAGCATTTCTGTAAAGATAAAAGATTTTTAAACTAATTAAATATAACAATGAAACTTTCATATATATATTAATAAGAAAAATAAATAGAATTAGTACGTGTTGGTTTTGTGTGTTTGATGAAAGATTGTTCTTCTTGTGTTTGATTTTTTTTGAATCCTTCGCGAATGTTTTCAATTATTTATACAATATTTTTAGTTTTTAACAAATTAGTAATCTATTAATAGTAAAGTATGACTTTTTGATGGTAAAACTTAAATTAACTAATGAAAATGAATTTATAAATCATTGTATTTTTTTTTCAATATATTTTTTCAGTAATAGAATTTGTTTTCTTAGGAAAAATGAATCTTAAAAGAAAGAGAAAATAAAGTATATGTTAACTAACTAATTTTTTTGTGATAAAATATACATAAAGCTAGAGATGTGTTTTTAGTTTTTTGGGAAGAAACAAAAAGAAAAAAAGAAAAAAAATGTTTATTTATTTTCTTAAAGCCATGATTACCCTACTCTTAGAAAAAAAGTGAAAAATTTAAGGAAAAAAAAAAGAAGAAAAAGGCTTTGATGACTTTAGACAAATAAAAGTTTGTAAAAGCCAGATTGGAGAGAAAATGACAATGAGGACTGTCACAAACCATATAGTCTCAACAGTTGGATTGCCAATCGGAATGAAATAATCTATTTTTGTTTATTCATCACTCTGTTATAGAGTGAAAATAGAATGAGATTATAACATTTTTACTCTATATTATCTTTTATATCATTTTTTAAAAAAAAATTAAATTTTATATTGGAGATGCTCTCAGTATTAATGAGATAATTTAGCTGATAAAGTCGATATAACTGGCCTAGTTCTGTTCACTCGCTATTTCCTAACTTTTTATTTTCTCCTAAGGTTACATATGTTATTTTAAAAGTTTTTTTTTGTTAAACATTATTTTTAAATTATTTGTTGAGTTGCAATTGGTGAGATGAGTTGTATATATGACATGGACAAACACTTTTTAGGACAAATAAATGAATAATAGCTATGCGATATTTTATATAAATGATATCCAATGTCAATTATGATTTTTAAATTTTCAGTTATTTGGAACTCTTTTTTTTTTTTCACTGATATCTGGAACTCTTCTTGGTGATAGCTTTTGGAGTTACTTGGCTATCGTTACATAACTATTAACTTACATACATATATCTGAAAATCAATGAGTTGGATTTGATTCACCGTTTACGTATTCCATTTTCTGATATATATGGTTAAGAAAAAATAGTGTAGGTTTTCGGATAAGACTTGATACTGCAATCTTATTCAAATCACAACTTCAGTTCTTAATATACCTTATGTTATGAGGTCAAGATAAAACTGAAAACGGTGCGTTTTCATGTTGGTTACGAGCAGGGCTACGGAATGACAGAAGCAGGTCCGGTGCTAGCAATGTCACTAGGGTTCGCGAAAGTGCCGTTTCCGGTGAAATCAGGAGCATGCGGTACAGTCGTCAGAAACGCCGAGTTGAAGATCATTGATCCAGACACTGGAGGTTCCCTTCCTAGGCACAATCCCGGAGAGATATGCATCCGCGGACACCAAATCATGAAAGGCTACCTCAATGACCCGGTGGCCACCGCAGCAACCATAGACAAAGAAGGTTGGCTTCACACTGGAGACATTGGATTTGTCGACGATGACGACGAGCTTTTCATCGTTGATCGTTTGAAAGAGCTCATCAAGTACAAGGGCTTCCAGGTTGCTCCGGCTGAGCTTGAGTCTCTCCTCATCTCTCACTCGGACATCAATGATGTTGCCGTCGTCGCGTACGTAGATTTTGAGTATAGTCTTTTACGTTATAATTATGTTTTTTTCTACTTTCGTGAGTTTTTGAAAATGTGTTATTGGATATGCAGCATGAAAGAAGAAGATGCTGGTGAAGTTCCTGTTGCATTTGTGGTGAGATCCGAAGATTCAAATATATCAGAAGATGAAATCAAGCAATTTGTGTCAAAACAGGTAAATGATTATTTGGTTATAGAAGATAAATCCACTTCTTGATGACTTGATGATAACATTGGGGTCTCAACGTTTACTGTGTGGGTGTGTGTGTGAATCAGGTTGTGTTTTACAAGAGAATCAACAAAGTGTTCTTCACTGACTCCATTCCTAAAGCTCCATCCGGGAAGATATTGAGGAAAGATCTAAGAGCAAGACTAACTAATGGATTAAGCGGGCTAAGTTTATAATAATCCAAAACAAATGTGTACATCATATATATATATATATATATATATATATATATATATATATATATATGCATGTATAGTTTTATCATAAAATTTTCACTGATAAAACTAAGGAAAGAAACTTACAGGATAATGTTTGCTCTATTTTATATTCATGTTATGGTGAATAAATGATCGTTGTACGTCACGTTTGATTGAAGTTGTTTTTTCTTTCGTAAAGTTGGTGCAAATATCTTCGTTTAACTATCCGAGAACTATATTTTCTTTACTTGACTAGTCTGAATTTGAGTTTTGATTCAGATGATTTAGATGATGGGTCGTAATATATGATTGATCCATCTTCTAATCAAAAGGTATTTCAAATTCAGGTTAGATAATATGGTACGTTTTTGGGATAGTCTACTATATAGTACTAAAATATGTTTCTCCTGAGACTGACCGATAGTATTATCAGAAAACAAAATATGTTGCTTTACGAAAGAATGATATCCCCTATATATTATTTGAGAATCATTTAAAAAATTGTAATCTTAAATTTGTAAGAATTAATAATAATCCTTATCCTATGTGGCATAGTTTTTTGGCTTCTATTTCAAATTCCAATGATTCTAGAGCATGTGATACAATGTATAGTTTAAAAATTATACTCTCTAGCAATATAATATTTTGTAGGCTATAGTTGGTCGCATATATCAAATATTTATTATTTCGCATGCTTTCCTTAAATAACCTACGGAATTACCTAATATGATTAAAATATATATGACAATTAATGATTTTAAACAATAAAGATTTGATAACAATCTTCAAATTTTTTTCTCATTTTGTTTATTTATTTATTATTAAAATAAATTACACAATTAAATTAATCATATAATAAAAATCTAGATTTTTTTTGTGTGTATGTTGTATTTCGAATTTTTCAAAATGAATATAAATTACTAAAACAGTTAAAAGTCTCACATAAACTTTTAGGATCAAGGTTTTAATTTTTTCTATATTAAAATATAATGATTATAAGACCATATGAAGAAATAATTTTGGTTTATATATATTTCATATGGTTTTAATTAAATTATATATCGTATGAAAATACATACTAATATTTTGATATTTGCCTTGAACATATATTGAAAAGTTAATATTTTAATTTTGAAATATGTCATTGTTTTATTAAAATGATTATAAATTATTGAAACTACTAAACATCTCACATTAAAAAAATTTCCTTGGTGTAAAGTTATGTTACACAAATATGCAAATAATCATAAAATCATATGAGTAAAAACCTCATTTAATAAATATCCATATTAAAAGTGTTCTATATTACTATGTTTATATCATTTAAATTTAATTATATATCATATATAATATATAAGATTGGTTATTTTGATTTATTTACCCTAATTGCGAATAAACAAAGTGATAGTTAAATTTATATGCATACGTCAATTTATTACATAATAGTAATTGATTTCTTAGTTATTTAATATATCTATATATTTATTATTTTATTATTTTATAATATGCATAAAATTATAAAATAAATAACAAATATAAAATGCTTATTGTGCATAAAGTGCATATCTTAACCTAAGTATGTATCTCTTTAATTATTTTAAATCTTAAATATTTTCTAAATCTCAGGTCAAAACAAACAAATGAAATGAGAATAAATTTCAAAATAAATATTTATATCGAGTAATAACAAAAATATAAAAAACACAACAAGAGAAAAAAAAATAGGATTGACACGTGAACGTAAGCTTCTCATAACCATAATTAATTTTTAAATTGTTAAATCATGATAAAAAACTGAGTTAATTTTTAATTTATTAATTTTATTTTATTTTTTAAATCATTATGGTTATGTTAAATCATGACCATAACTAATTTTAAATTGTTTATTTGTATTTGAAAAACTTAAAATATTGTTTTTAAAAATAATTAAAAATTTAACTTAATTTTTAATAAAATTAAAAAAATATTGTAAAAATATAGTTTTCTAATATTATTAGAAAAATAAATAAATTTTAATAAATTAGTTTTGAAACTTTATATATTTTAAGTGCAAGTATTTTACCAACTGCTTATTACAAAAACATTAGGAAACTTGCTAACACTGAAAAGTGAAAAGATATATGAAATCAAGTCCATTAAATTCTAAGATTTGATCTACAGTTCTAATTACAATTGTTTCTGATCCTACGTATAAATAATTATATAAAAATTCCAAAATTCTAAAATTTCAAATACATATAAAAACAATCATATATAAATTTTAAATTTGTCAATACTAAAATTTTATGTTTTAGTTACATATATTCACCTTGCGCAAAACGCAGGTCTTATCGTAGTGAATATAGTATCAACTATCAATACCTGCCAAGAAAAGAAGAAGCAAAAGATTTCACCAAAAGAAATCACATATTACATTATTGAAAAAGTAGAAAAGGCCGACGTGTTAATTCTTAGATAGATTTACTAGAAACTACTGATCATGAGACTCTGCATATAGCTCAAGAAATTTGAAAAATTAATTGCATAAAATAAGCCAATATAAATATTTATAGATCACTAGCTACCAAAAACAGTATGGGAGAAAGCCTAATCATTTATTCTTTTATCTCCAAATCTTATGTATATTTGTTTCCCAATTTCTCAACTACAGTAGGGTTATACGTTGTTGTTTGCATAGTCATTGTTACATACATTTGCAAAAACATTGGACATACATTAAGTAAGTACCATTGGTATGGTTCTCTATTGCCTTTTTGGCTAATATGTCTGCGCATATAACTACAAGAAATTAAGCAATTCTCGACAGAAAAATCTGTCAAAAAGGGACATACACCTCTGAATCTGTCGAAAATGTTCAACATAGTAATATTTAGAAATTCTTCTTAATATCCATAAAAAGTTTCATAAAACAAAAACTAAATTAGAAAAAAATTAAAAATAAAAAAAGAAAGATCTAGAAACCGCCACCAAACTTCTATCTCATCTTCTTAAGCATCTTTTGGTTCTTAGAAATTTGCCTCTGATTTTCCGCCAATTAGGCCAAGAGCATTGCATTTTGGTCCATGATACTAGCATTGTGGGTTTCCAACGCCTCAATCTATTCATTCTTGGTCTTTGGGATGTTCCACAAGTTCATGATTAATGGTGTATGGACGGACATTGAGACGATGAAGAAGAAAATCCCAGGGTTAGATGACATAACCCGACGTAGTAACTTTTCTTTTAAGAAAAAAAACAATTATAATCTACTAATAATAACAATCCTCATTAATTTCAAAGGTTGTGAATTCTCATTAAATTGAAAGGTTGTGTTTTTAATTTAAATTTTGTAAATTTATTTTGAGACATTGTGTCCTTTCAAAAATTAGTTTATTTGAAAGAATGTGTTTATTTTTTTTTAAGTAATATTTTTTATACATTGAAATAATGTGTCTGTTAATAAGTTAGTTAATTTGTAAGAATGTATTCAAATAATATATATATATTTTTTGAAAAGAAGAAGAAAGTTGTGACTTTTCATTTTAAAAAAATGATTGTAATTTGAAAAGTAATTTTTGAAAGAATTCTTTGAGTCTATTAATATATAGTGTATGTCTACAATTTCTTGAAACTAAAATTTTACAACCTAAATAAAATGGTGAAGAAGAAAGATTCTGTAAAGTTATTTTATACATTGAAATAATGTGTCTGTTAATAAGTTAGTTAATTTGTAAGAATGTATTCAAATAATATATATATATATATATATATATATATATATATATATATATATATTGAAAAGAAGTAGAAAGTTGTGACTTTTCATTTTAAAAAACTGATTGTAATTTGAAAAGTAATTTTTGAAAGAATTCTTTGAGTCTATTAATATATAGTGTATGTCTACAATTTCTTGAAACTAAAATTTTACAACCTGATTCTCAGTGATAGGTTATCATTGCACATGAGGTTTTTCATAGTCTCAAGGTCCGTAAACGTCAAGCCTCATCATACATGGCCATCAAAACTGATATCACCAAGGCTTATGATTGCATCCAATGGAACTTTTTGGAAGAAACTATGAGACAAATGGGTTTTCATACGAAATGGATCAGTATGGTGATGACTTGTATTAAGTCAGTAACCTACTCCGTCCTCATCAATGGAGCACCAGAAGGTTACATTGTACCTGAGAGGGGAATCAGACAAGGGGACCCTTTGTCCCAATATCTCTTTATATTGTGTGCTGAAGTTCTATCACACATGATGAACACAACAATGGAAGATCGATCTCTATTAGGAGTGAAGATTGCGATTCAAGCACCGCCTGTAAATCATCTGTTATTTGCAGATGATTCACTATTCTTCTCCTTGGCTAACCATCGTGCTGGGAGGAAATTAAAGAACATTTTACAAGTCTATGAAAGGGTTTCAGGTCAGGCTGTCAACTTAGCCAAATCTTCTATCACATTTGGTTCAAAGGTTTCCTCACAAGTTAAAACAAGAATGAGAAATATTCTTGGTATCTTTAATGAAGGTGGCATGGGTAAATACTTAGGTCTACCTGAACAATTTGGAAGCAAGAAGAGCGATATGTTTAGATATATCATTGATCGAGTTAAGGCGGTTACTCAGGGCTGGCATCAGAGATATCTCACTCCTGGTGGTAAAGAAGTGCTTCTAAAAGCCATAGCGTTAGCTATGCCTATTTATACGATGAATGTTTTTAAATTAACGAAGGAGATTTGTGAAGAAATAAATGGAATCCTTGCTAAATTCTGGTGGAGTTCAGGTGAGAAAAAGGGTATTCATTGGCTTGCTTGGAAAAGGATGAGTATTCCTAAAAGAGAAGGTGGTTTAGGATTTAGAGATCTGGAAAAATTTAACCAAGCTTTACTTGGGAAGCAAGTATGGAGGATTATGCAAAACCCGGGATGTCTCATGTCAAGAATCTTGCGGGCAAGATATTTTCCAGAAGGAGATATACTCAATGCA